GCTGGGATAGAGTTAATTTCCTTCCTAGTAGCTGGTACAGTGCTGTGTTTTGGATTTAGGATGAGAATAATGTTGATCACACACCGATGTTTTAGTTGTGGTTAAGCAGTGCTTACACCAGTCAAGGACTTTTCAGCTTCCCATGCTCTACCGACTGAGAAGGCTGGAGGTGCACAAGAAGCTGGGAGGGGGCACAGCCAGGACAGCTGACCCAAACTGGCCAAAGGGGTATTCCATACCATGTGACATTGTGCTCAATACATAAACTGGGGGAAAGCTGGCCGGGGGGGCCGCTGCTCAGGGACTGGCTGGGCTTCGGTTGGTGGGTGGTGAGCAATTGCACTGTGCATCACTTATTTTGTATATTCTTTATTATTATTATACTATTACTATTACAATTTTACTTCCTTTTATTTCAGTTATTAAACTGTTCTTATCTCAACCCACGAGTTTTCTCACTTTTACTCTTCTGATTCTCTCCCCCATCCCACTGGGGGGGGGAGTGAGGGAGCGGCTGGGTGGTGCCCAGTTGCCGGCTGGGGTTAAACCATGATAGATGTCTTTAGTCCAGTTCAATGAGCTTGGTGGCCTTTCACTCAACTCGTTCCAGTTTGTCAATGCCTTTTTTGTACTGGGGAGCTCACAGCTGGACACAGTACTCCAGATGTGAATAGTGTCTCGTTAGCTACACTCTTGCTAATACTGCCCAGTAAGCCACAGGGCTTCTTCCCTGCAAGGGCACACAGGACCTGCAGGCCCTTTTGTGCAGAGATGTTTTCTCTCCAGCTGCCCCCCCAGCAGTACTGGGATTATTCCTCCCTCACTGCAAGACTTTGCAATTGTCCTTACTGAACTCCATGAGGTTCCTGTTGGCCCATTTCCCCAGTTCTTGAGGTCCCTCTGAATGGCAGCTCCGCCCTCTGGCTTATCTATCGCTCCCCACCCTCCAACTTGTTGCCACCCATAAGCTTGTTGAGGCTGCACTCTGTCTGAATATCAGGTTGTTAATGAAGATCCACCTTGACCAGCATAGTGCAGGTGCAGCAGGACTTGGCCCTTCACTTCTCCGTTTGCCATTCCCTGGAAGAAGCCTTAGTAAAAACCCATGTAGAAAGGAGAAAAATTAAGGCAGGATTGGGAAAAAAAAAAGCTGATCAAGACTGAAACAATCTACAACAGTCTTTAATCATTCTTGCATTCAGTCCAGGATTAACTAATTAATGAGTGCTCTAGGCCCTGGCAGCACATTTCTTGTTGGAAAGAATTACTGTAAATGCGAAAAGGGCCAGGGAGTAGTTTAGTCTCTGAGATGCTCCCCACCCTGGTCTACTCAGAGTGACTTTTGCTTTCTGGCAGCTGCCTGCACGCCAAATGTTTTCCCAATAACTGTCAGCATCCTGCCTGCACTTCGCCTGGGCGCCAGCTGCTGGGGAGGTGAAGGGGGACATTATTCATCTGGGAGATCAGTAAACCCCAAAAGGAGAAGCAGGCCTCCAAGCAGCCATTTAGCAGCAGGAGCTGAAGAAGGAGCTGAAAGCAACAGAGAATAAATACATAAATAAGCACACCCCAACTTCTCTTCTCTTTTTTAGCTCCTGCTCAAAAAAAAGAGGATGGGGACACGTAGGTGAAGTGGAGGGAGATATTAGTGAAAGATGATGGTAAATCATCCCCCCTGTGGGAATAATTTCTCGGTTTATAAATGTTTACTGGAGGTGTTAAATTCATGTGTAACTGCAGCTTGCCAGGGTCTGCCTTATTTGACACCTTGTCCCAGCCCATTGTCTCTGCAGGGTATTTCGGTAAGGGAAGTGGTCATGTGGCACATTGACGTTTTGCGTAAAGTGCACTTTCAAAAGCTTACATGCTGTTACACACACTTCTCCATTACATTTACAGATTGCCATGCCATCAATACAAAAATATTGCCGAAAAGTTGCTCAGTGTTAAATATAGAGCACATATTGTACTATACCATGTGGCACATTCTATCAATCTTGGGAGAACCATGCACTCAACATATTTTTCCATCTGGCTTCTAGAAACCTAAAATCTCCCAATCAGTTTCTCCTATTTTTTCTCCCATCTGCATCTTTGCAGAAATTTTCAGAATTTTGGTTTGGGAGCAACAAAAAAATAGAAAAAGACATTCTAAAAAAACCCCCAATTAGATCAAGAGTTCAATTAAAAAAGACAGGGACTAGACAGAGCCTAGGGTTCCTCTTTGACACAAGCTTCCTGGAAGACGAGAAGCTGGAAAGTGACCTACTGCTTACCAATATGTCCTACATCAGTGTCCAGGGACAGTAGCTACTCCCATGACCTCCGTGGATATTATCCCTGTAGAAGAACTACAAGAAACCACCAACTCTTGTGAATGAATAGTCCTCGAGAGACAAGAAAATATCCGTCTCCTAGCAATGTGCAGCTACTGTGTGGTGAGAAAGCATGGCCTCTGTAGGTTAGAAAATCCACATGCCTCTTTCAGGGAGCAGCTTGTCAATGGCCCTGTGGAGTGGATGAACCTACTGGGACAGGAAAAGGTGCAGTGGGCAGAGGACAGTGTCCTCCCTGGACATCCTGGAGCAGGCAGATCTTTTTTAGCCAGAGTACACATCTCCTGGGGTCTGCAAGCTCTGAATAGTGGGAAGACATCTGCTGCTGGGCTGGCCAGTTTCTTCCCTGCTCCTCCCATGTAAAAGGATTTGTTTCCTCATGCTGTGATTGTACTGCAGCTTGCAGTGCAAAAATATGCTTTGGGAGAAAAGCACTTTCAGGTCCTGGTCTCTTTGGGATGGTGATTCAACAGGCTGCCGTCCTGTTATCAGAGCGTAGAGCATAGTAGAAGCACTGAATCAGCTGGAACCAACAGGAAAGTCAATGTTAATTAAAGGAATGAATGGGCTTGTACGGAAGAATCAGAGCATTCAATGACCCCACCACAGCTGCAAGTGACAAGGGCATATTACCTAGGGCGAGCAGGGTGAGACACGCATCTTCTTATACAGACCGGCCAAATTCAGGCAAGACCTGTAGGACTAAACACCACTCCATGGCAGAGATCCTTCCCCATAGCAAGGCTTTGTCCACAGCACTCAGCTTCTCTTTGCTTTGCTGTCAGTTTTGCCACCCCTCCCCACTTGCCAGGGCCATTGCTCCACGCAGGGTCCTCCCCATTTCAGACCCTGGGCATCTCCTAGTCCATCAAGCTGTTGTCTGTACTGTGGTATTACAGTGAGTCTGCATACCACACTGTAAGTGGTCTGGACACCACTGTGGTAGGTCCCATGCAGACACACAAAAATGTGCTTTCTCCCCTGGATGATCAGCCCCAATGGCAAAAAAGCCAGCTCCACAGGGAGACAGGAGATGAGAGCAGTCTGGTGCATGATTAATTTATATCCTTAAAAGTCTGAAATGCTCCCAAAGACATTAGTATTCCCCATGTAAGAAAGCTGTCCAGATTTTCAACATATCCCTGCCTTATTCCCACATCTACTGGAATTAATAGCTGAAAGCTTGTAAAGCCCAAAATGCAAACACAGGACTGCATTTAATCTAACGCAGAGGCTGAGATCATAGTTCGGGAGTCTAAGTGTTGTCAGAAGCAGAGACAGCCCAAATTCTCATTTATACTAAGACACTTTTATAATATCCTGAAAGCATGAATGCACCTCAGAGTGGGTGCAGTGCCAGCACTGACAGCCTCTTTGCACTGTGGAAACATTGGTATGAAGGGCCCTTCAGAGAAATGAAGACAAGTGAAAATGAAAATCCCATTCCTTACATCTAACCCCAGTAGAGGTGACACAGCCCAAGAGCTTTCTGAGGTAAATTAGACTCCAGACAGTTCACTCTGTGTGTGTGTGTGTGTAGACCTGTGCAAAAGGAAGTTGCGCATGCACTGGAAGGAGGATGAAGAATCCACCCAAGTGTTTAAAAGCAGGCATCAGCCCACGCTTGTTTTTTCACACTGCTTAATAGTGCAGACATCGCACCCAGAAATGACTCCATTTCTCTGTTGAAGGGGTTGCTATGTCTAAGTTGGTGAGGGATCCATTGGGATGAATAAGTGCCACCTCCTGCTTCCCATATTTAACTTTTCACTGGGGAAGCTCTGGTGCCAATTTTACCTGAAGAAGTGCTGGGGTAACAAGGACCAATGTGTGAGAGATTCCCCCTGCGCCAGCCCTGTCTAAGCCCAACGCTGCTCCTGGTGCCCAGCTCATCCCCCTGCACTGTCCTCAGGGCATGTGTTACAGGGCACTGAAATAGGAAAGTGCTTGCTAGAGACTGCACGAGGTACTCCATGGCCAGCTCTTTTTCTTCTAACTCTGAAGAAAATGTGCTGAATAGGCTGATGGAGCCATCACATACCATGGTGGAACTGGCACAGAAAAAACACACGCAGTTTTTTAGATTTGTTAGATGATAGTCTTTCTCTCCAGTAGCAGATTTCACTGAGACTATCACATTCCTCACCCCATCCTACAGATGTGCAGAACTTAGTAGCTAAAAAAGAGGAGGTGGAGACCCAGAATTTTGTTACTGTAAAATTAAATTCTGGGAGCCACACTTGTTTTAAAAATTCAGGCAAGCAAAGTAATGCCTGGCTTCAGTTATGTTGTTTGCTAACTTACTTGTAGCTACTTGTTTCAGGATACACAGGCTAGTAGTCATGGAGGTCTGTATACTTCCAATTCCTTGCTCTCTTTAATTGACAGTAATGCTTCTAAAGCTCCTTTTTTTTTTTTTTAATTTGCCTGAGGCAAGTGGTAAGTGTAGGGCTTCAAGGACTGTTATACATTCTTATTAGGGGATTTATCTTCTAGGTAAAAGAACCACAATTCTTTCCTGGTGCAGTTCAAATCAGTTGGCACAGGGTCTAAAAGAATGCCTTAACTCCAAGGTGTCAGAAAGGATCAAGGGATCAGCAAAGAAAGAGCTTTGATTTAAATGTGCAATAGGATGTCCTCAGTTTAAAGAAAGAACTAGGAGACCTGCTGTAAAATGACAGAATTTAATAGGCTAATATAATAGTTTATCAGTTAACATAATTTCAAACTGGAGAGAATAGCCCAGTGGTTGTATTATTATTATTATTGTTGTTGTTGTTGTTGCTGTTGTTATAAACGTTTATTATTTCATTGATTTAAATTCCACTGGTCTGTAGTATATTCACTGTCTTTCGACTAAACTGCCATGCTCTGTTGCCTTCGCTTTGAAGAGGAGTGTGAAGAAGGCAGGGCTCCTGCAGGCGGGGAATCCCAAATGTGCCTGTTAGCAAGATGCTGTCGTATTTCCTTCCTATAACTTGTCAGTGGGATTTCCAAAGACTTTGGGTATTCAAAAACCATGATGTGTATTATACCTTGCCATCTAGAAACATTCTGACTTGTGACTGAATATTTTGCTTAATAATTAACAGAGGCCTAAAAAGTGATGGAAAAAAAATGTCATCAGCAACAGGGTTGGTGCACACATGTGAGTCGAAGGTGTCCCATGTGGCATCACCCTGTGGCTGGGCACCCCAAGGGGTGTCTGTGGCCAGGCAGGACACAGCTGCAGGCAGGATGGGGGGGACTTGGAGGGAGTGGGAAGCAAGCTGCAGCCATGTGGATGGGCTGAGGGGCCTCCACACAGCTCAGTAACAGTATGCTCCATAATTCATCTTCTAAAGTGAAGAAGAGTTTTTATTTCTCTAACTTCTAAAGTATTGGTAGGAGTGGCTGTGGAAGTTGGCTGACCTGAGCTCTTAAACTCACTGAGCTGGGCAGGACAGGGGCACATCAGTACAGGCTGTAAACAAATGGCTCATGCTTGTAAGGACTATAACAATCCATGGACAACACATGCCATATAAATTGGGTATCCAGACAAGTATGTATTTGCCAAGTCCACTTCCCACCACACAAATGCATGTGTCCTTAAACATGCATAGACGAAAACAAAAAAACTGAACTAATGCCATTCAGAAAAACATGCATTTTCATATATAAATATCCACGCAAAAAGGCTAGCTGTGATAACTGTATTTACTGCAAGCAGAAACATGAACACCATGCCCCAGACACTCTTGTGAAATAAATTTTGTCTTCAGTTTCAGTTTAATAGCTCAAGATCTTTCTGCCAGATGTATGAATGGCTTTGGGAGGAAAGGCACGGGAAGGAAAATGAAGATGTGATCAACCTAGGAAATGATTCTTGGGAAACCTTCCAGTGTCATGAGCAAGCAAACACAAGAATGCATTAGCACAGCACACTGTCTGACAGATGCTCCAGTCGCTGGTTCACGGGACATACGCTTTGTTTCACTGAGAAACAGACATTTGTGGGATGAGAGAAAGCAAATGGATGTAACAGACTCATCCTTAAAAGTTTTTAGCAGACGCTTGTGAAATTGTACCAAAGAATGAATGAAGACTTGTGGATGTACTAAGGTCTGTCAAGACCTGAAATGAATTGATGGACCACAGTCATAGCTAACTGACAGTGACAAGTGTTGCTTTGCACTCTTTGGACTGGAAATGACATCTTGAGAAATTAAACTGAGGCCAGCATGCTCAGAATCACCGTTTTTCAGCTGTTCTAATAATCCCTTTCAAAAATATCCCTGCATGCTATATTATGTGTCTCTATTTCTGAACTAGAAGCAAACAGACAAAAGCGTTGATTAAATGTGTGAAAAATATTAAACTCGGAGACATTGTATACACCAAAAAGTGCAAAAGAATTGTACAAAAAGAAGCAGGGAGGCTAGAAAAATGGATTGGGAATAGCAATGAGATTTCAACAGGAACAAAGAAAAGCTACTGTATCAAATATGAAATATAGAGTTAGAAGTTGTAATGACAGAAACTCATAAAGATGTAGGCTTGGGAATAAAAGGGTGAAAGGTAATAACATTAACTCCGAATTGCAGGCACTCTGGTGTCAGAAAGAAGGGGAGCAATGCTTTTGGAAAGTGAATTGGGTGCGTGATTGGGGAAGCATTGCTTAGGAAAAGAGTCTGCTTGCAATGACTGCAATTACAAAGTAACACTAGTAGGGACAGAAATCCCCATCAAACAGAGATACGGTATTACCTTTGAGATATACCACAGGGCAAGGCCGGAGCATTGGGAATGTCTGGCAAAAAAGGTGATATTTCAGGAACAAGTGAGGCTGCGAGGATCAGGATCATGGAAAGGCTTTGTGGCTAATGCAAGGTAGGCTAATGAATGCTGTTTACATGAAGGTTACAATGAAGGTTACAATGAAGGTTACAATGAAGGTTACATGAAGGTTTACAATGAAGGTTAGTTGACATAGAAGGAGAAAAAAAATCAAGGGAAAGGCAGATGCATTGTCCCTTTTATTGGGAGGCCTGAGGCTAAAAAGAACCTGAAAAGGAGGCATTTGTGGTTGCATGAAGGGTCTAGACTGGAAACAATGACTGTATGGCATAATGTGCAACTGAGACCTGATACAAAACCACCAGAGTCAGGTCAGTCTTTCCACCGCTTCCAGGAAACCTTGAAGTCATCAAGACTGCGCTGCCCCAGTTCAGATACCGGTCAGACCCTGAGGTCATCCTGCTTGCCCCAACATTGCTCCAGAAAGCCCAATTTTCAAGACAAACTAGTGCTCCTCACCTTACCACCTTGGTGCCGTTCCTCATGACCTGCATGTCCACCATGCAGCCGCCCGTGACGTAAGCAGCCAGGTTCAGCTCGGAGAACTCAGCCTGGAGCAGAGCAAAAGGACAGAGAGTTACTCGAGGGCAGCAGAGACACAAACACACGGACACAGACGCAGAATTGTCTTCGGCTAGAATGTGCCTTTCCTTCTTTTACTTTTTTTTTCTTTTTTTTTTTTTTTCTTTTAATGAGGCAATGGGAGATCCAATTACAGCTGATTTGCCCTGGGGAGACTGCAGAAGTATTTACAGCTCCCACACTTGGGGTGTACAAGTATACAGGATTAGGCTTATTGCAGTAATAAGTACTGAAGGAATTAAGAATGAGCAAGCTGAAAAATGCATACAGGAAAGAATAATAATAATAAAAAGAGGTAAGGTCATTTGAATTCAAATTCCAAGTTTCCACTTGGAAATAACCATTTAGAATTATGGCTGAGTTGGCTGTCGTGCCACTGGCCAGCTATAAACCTAATACAAAAGATTTAAACCTCCCTAAATAGCTAAAAAGCCTCATTGTGCTGAGGGAAGGTGATAAGCAGAGAAACCCACCTGATGCGGTTTACTTATTAAGATTTTAACTATTACAGGGTTAGCAAAGGTGGGTAGGCTATTAACAGTACTGCTCAATTATTAAAACACTTTATATTTTAAAAGAGGTGCGACTTACAAGGCCAGAAAGGTTAGCAAGGAATATTTAAGCTATGGGGAGCAAAAGGCAATGTGCATGGGGGCAATTACAACTGCAGTGGGTGTCAGTGAAGGTTAAGACACAAATCAGAGCAATTAACTGGGCGAGAGTTGTGATAATCCTCCTGCATGGCCGCTGGCTCTGCTGTCCCTCAGACAGGAGTGCCGGCGAGACTTGATGGTCTCAGGCCACTCTCAGCAGGAGGAGGATGGCAGGATTAGCTGATCAGTGCTCAACTTAGGCTCTAAATCATAACTCTGTCCTTTATGAGCAAATGAGTATACACCAGGCTAGAATAGCCTATTATTCTGCCATGCCAGTCCTCTCTTTCCAGCACGATGCAAACATACCTGTACGGATTCAGAATCCTATATTACATTAGGGCCTGCGTATATAAATAATCAGGTTTCAGTTTTTGAGACAGAAAATTTAGTCTTCTCCCTTTGAACAGCTTTTTTTCCCTCTTCCTGTTAATGCATTTCTTTCAGACTTAGTATGATGGAGACTGGGCAGCAGTAAAATCATCTTCTAACTAGTGGCCACCTAATATCAGAGCACTCGGATGGTGTTGCTAATGCCTGTGATTTTATTGGTATTCTTGTAGTATTTAACGTCCTTCTGATAATTCTACTAGCTGGAACCAAACGATAGTGCCAGGAACAACTTTTATTAAAAAAAAAAAGAAAAGAGAAGGAAAAAAGCGTGTTTTGTCCTCATGAGCGCATGGAAAAAACTTGCCAATGGAGAATTAGTGCACCTGTAAAGGCTCAGAGGCCAGACGACAAATGAAAAAATCACTTCCAACTTTCTTTTTTTAAAATCCACATAATTTTAAAGCAATGACCGTGGACTGGTGACCCAATGATGTAATAGCATGGAAAACTTGCCAATGGAGAATTAGTGCACCTGTAAAGGCTCAGAGGCCAGACGACAAATGAAAAAAAAAAGAAGGAAAAAAGCGTGTTTTGTCCTCATGAGCGCATGGAAAAAACTTGCCAATGGAGAATTAGTGCACCTGTAAAGGCTCAGAGGCCAGACGACAAATGAAAAAATCACTTCCAACTTTCTTTTTTTAAAATCCACATAATTTTAAAGCAATGACCGTGGACTGGTGACCCAATGATGTAATAAGATTTCATGTCTGCGGCCCTGTGTAAAGCGTGTTTTGTCCTCATGAGCGCATGGAAAAAACTTGCCAATGGAGAATTAGTGCACCTGTAAAGGCTCAGAGGCCAGACGACAAATGAAAAAATCACTTCCAACTTTCTTTTTTTAAAATCCACATAATTTTAAAGCAATGACCGTGGACTGGTGACCCAATGATGTAATAAGATTTCATGTCTGCGGCCCTGTGTAAACTTTTTAAAGCAACACCCTTAAACGATCTTACATCATTGTAACTTCCAATTACAATGAAAGGAGGGGGAAAATTCCTGTTGCCAAGAAATAAATCCTACTTCAAACACATATACACACACACACAGGGAATGGCAGTGGTTCAAGTGACTGGCTGGGCTTTTCTTATGGGGTTGCACAGTGCTGCCTTGGCCACAGCCATGTTTCTTCAGTGATCATATTGGATCAGAGATAAGAAAATATGTACCTTTAAAAGGCACCTGCATTTTATACATTTAAAAAATCTCAATAGATGGAGGGAGAGGGGAGTCCACCTTGAACGAATTCAGCAAGAGCAGGTGCTCTGGGTACCATCAGTGAGCTCCCCAGTGGGTCAAGGCAAGCTTGCTAGCTTACACGTGGGCTCGAGAGGCTCTGTGGACTGGGGAGATGAAAGGATGGTTTTCCCACCTCTGTATCTGGGTATGCCTCAGAGACGTCCCACTCTGAAAGCAGAGTGTTACTGAGCTGGACCTTCAGCTTCTGCAGCTGAGGGATGCATCATCTGATGCGAACACCAGAGCAAGAGAAGAAAGTTTTAGGTCTGTGTTTTCACGGTTTTTATGCTTTTCTTCCATAATTTTTTCCATAATGGTTTTGTACTAAAGAGCTTAACACTTTGCTTTGCTGGGGGTGAAAATGCACAATCTTCATTTGATGGCTGGCACTTACAATCTAACTAAGTCAGTTTGACAGGCGTTGCCCCGAGACAGTCAGACCAAACAAAGCTGCGTTCAGACACCTGACATCCAAACAGGCCTGGGAATCCCCCGAGCTGGGAAGTACTTCATACCAAACTGCCAGGACCAATTTCAAGCCTGCTAATGTCAAGAGCCAGAAGAAAGGGAGAAATCCCCTTTGGCAACCATTGTCCAGGGCACCCTGGCCACGAGGAAGGAGTGGAAAGAGGGTCTGCGGGACTCAGCTACCTTGGCGCCAAAACATCCAGATATACAATCACAGCTGAGAGACAATCCTAATCTTTTCCTGGCATTCGCTCCTGCTTTAACGGACTAAGTTAAGGACCGCTGCTGCTTTCATGTAGCTGCTTTGTCCCATCTGACAGGCCGCTGCTAGCTGGCGTTTGGAAGAAGGCTGAAAACTTCAGTCAGCAGAAATTGTTTCCTGTTGATTTTCCAGTGCTCCCTGTATTTTTAACTTTGTGGGTTTTGTAGCCTGATGACTTCCCTTGGCTGGGATTTAAAGTCTGAGATCATCTCCAGCCTGAGTTTACCTTGCAGACAAAGAGGTCTTTGAAAGCAGCCCATGCAGATAGAGTGACAGGTAACTATGCATAAAACAGGAGAGCCCAGCTCCCCGTGGCCTTGCAGAGTCATTTGCATTAGGACTCATCGAATACAAGAAGGCATTACATTAGCCTGATGGTGTTTTATACTTGCTTTGCGATGGTGCCAGTGGCTGCAAAAACATTTAGGGCAAGAGTGAACCACGTGTGACAAACGCGACACAATCCATCTTGAAGAATAACATAATACAGACTGTGGGAGTAGAAATATTTTGTACCTCTGTGAGGCCCAGATTTGGGAGGATGCCCACAGATATTTTGAGAATAGTTCTGTTAAAAATGCCTATTTCAGGTATTCAGATTCAGAAATCTCTCCAGATCATTTGGACTAAATCTTAAGCTACTCTCAGTTTCTCCCATCAGTGTTCTCTAGGCACTGGAGATCTTTTTGGTGAGCTATTTTAGAGTTTCTGTTTCTGCTTGCTGATAATAAAACAAGGAGGACTTTGTAATTTTAAATCATGCGATAGTAGAAATGCCTGGCTTAGTAGCCATACCTTTTAATACTTCATGAGAGGCACATGTTCAAGGTGGATTTTGCGCATTTTTCATAGAATAACAGAAAGTTGGGTTGGAAGGACTTCAAGACATCACATAGTCTGTCTCTCTTTCCAAAGGCAGGATCAGCCCTACCTCTGCCATTGTGTGCAGATACTACAAACCTTCTCGTGTCTTCCACAGATGAGGAATCTCCTCAGGCAATTTGTGCCTTAACAACCTTGTAAAGTTTTCCCAATGTCCAACCTAAATCTCTCACCTTACTCTTTGTAATTTTTTTGTCTATTACTTTCTCCTGCAGAACCTGAAGACTCACTGCTTGAAGACTTACCCTTCCTTCTTCTTTTTTTTCCTTAGACAAAACCAACCCCATTCTTGTAAGATTTTCTTGGAGGTGATGTTTTTCAGCACAGTGATCAATGTTGTTGCTGTCACTGGGATCCTCTCTGATAGGTCTGCAACTTTCTTGAGTTGTAATGGCCCAAACTCACCATGATCCTTCAGCAGAGACCTGACCATTGTTGAGTAAGATGTAAGACCACTTGCCTTACATATAATACTGCTGTCCATATGTTCCAGTATGGATTCATTATATGTGCAGCAACATGACTATCTTTTAACTCATATTCCGGCTGAGATCACCTGTAATCCTTGCATTGCTTTGTCCAGGCTACTGACTCGTCTTGTGCATCTGCCATTGATGATTGACGCATAAGGGGGAGATTTGTCAATGTCTATAAAAACCTGATGGGAGGTAGTAAAGAAGATGGAGCCATACTCTTCTCAGTGATGCCCAGAGAAAGGACAAGGGGCAACGGGCACAAAATGAAATACACTAAATTCCATGTAAGCACAAGAAAACACCCTTTTTATTGTGATGATGGTCAAACACTGGAACAGGTTGCCCAAAGAGGCTGTGGAATCTCCATCCCTGGAGATGTTAAAACCTTTATTGGCCATGGTCTTGAGCATCCTGCTCTAGGTGAACTTGCTCAGAGCAGGTTGTTGGACTATGAGATATCCAGATGTGCCTTCCAGGCTCAACCGTCCTGTGATAAGTTCGGTATCTGGCAGATGTCCTTATTAAACTTCTCCCTGCACGTCAAGGGGGAACCCCAGGAAAGCATCCCAGTTTGCTCCTTGAGCAGATGCTGAGGG